TCTCTCTCTCTCTCTCTCTCTCTCTCTCTCTCGCAAAACATGACCCAATATTTTAAGCAAACAAAAGTGATAATTACATTCAATATAACAGCAAACATATAACTTATTCATTAATCCCATGAAATAGGCAATGGATTCAATGTTTTAGAGCATTGATCTATAAATTGTAGGCTTTTATACAAATTAGTTATAGAGTAGTATTGCATAAACTAATTACTATACGAATTATTCAAATGTAATTCAATTACATATTCAACAAAGAAAATGCAATCAAATATGTCTTTTATCTGAAATGCTTAGCGACACAAATATATCGCATATGAAAGTGTCCTTTAATTACATAAATATATTATAAAATGAGTAGATTTTTACGATATTTACACACAATTTATCGCAAATCTTAATTCAAAGCCAAATTCAAACAACTGAAGGAAATGTGAAGTTCAGGTCATTTGAAAACGAAGCGATAATTTTGCAATATTTCTGGTTTTAATGTACGAAAACAGTAATTCAATGGGAAATTATAATTTGCAAATAAAATGCAAAAAACGACTTTATTTGTAAGAATACTGTATAAATAAAATGTTTTGCTTTACATTAGTTTTACTTAATTGTCACGAAATGAATGTTTTTTAATTATAAATAATGGCTACAAATTATAATCCAATTATAAATAGATTTAATTTAGTCCTTCAAGTGGTTCCTCAAAACACATGCAATCAAATGATCGTTAAATTAAGGATAAATTGAGTAGAGATACGGTTCCTAAGCGGACACTAACCCAACCATAGCGTCGGCACTCTTGGCCTTCTCGTCGTCCTCCGCTTCCATGTCGTCATCTCTTGGCGGCAATTCAAAGGCTGCAGTACTCGGCGCCACCACTACTGTATCCCAAACCGACATATTCTCGGTTATGCCCGTCTCGTCGGCCTCTAAGCCGAGTATCACTTTATATCCGTCGCCGTAACTCAAAATGCGGAGCAGTGTCTGTGCGGTCATACAAATGGTGTCCTCTTGCATGAGAGACAGCGGACTGTATAGAGTGATGGCTCCGTTCTCGCACGGGTCCGATATGCCAGTCGACCCTTTAGTGGCCACAAATCATTGCCATTCAAAACATCAAATTAGAAATTATTATTCAAAATATGTTCACAAAAGTAAGCATTTAATGTAAAAATGGATGAAATAGAGGGCAAATACCGGGTAAAAAGAGTCCGCCGGCCAGCAGTTGAAAGACCCGTTTGAATGCCATATTCAATGGCAAGAGTGACTGCTGATGACGGAATGTCACCGAATAGTGCGACAACACGTCTATCATCCACGGAGACAACGCATTCAAGCCCTCAAACCGGGAGCACACGTCTCGTAGCACTCGGATCAGGACCTTAACAGTCGTCAGATTCGCCGACTCCTCGAACCAACGCGCGTGACGTATGGCCGACAGATGTCTTTGGATCAGTTTCATCGGCAAATGAACCTTCGCGTCCAGTTTGCGGAGATTCGGCATAATTGTGGCGATAAGTATGCGGACCGTAGAGTTTGTCGTTTTGTTGATCACATCGAAACCACTCGAGTTCTCCTCCATTACGACCTCCGAAGTGGTCTCTATTTTCACCAACTCTTCCATCACTTTCGCGCCCAACGTCTGAATGGCGTCCATAACGGGCAGTGTCTTCAGTATAACCACCAGATCTGCGATATTGTGATGTATTTTCATCGTTCCCTTCTTGAAGGAGCCGACCGGTCGGACCTCATCGATCACCTGATCCATGGATACAAACAATACGTCAATTAAAGCTAACGAATCAGATACTAATCAAATGATTGAGTGACTGACACAGGCGTCAAAGGTTCCCGGATTTAAAGTAATGTTTTCCAACACTATCTGCACTTTTGACACCATATTAATGATATTTGTCTGCTCTTCGGGAGTGGGCGTCAGGTCTGCATTGCGGGCCAGAATTGCCTATAAATAGAGACACAAAGACATGCAATCATTAGTAATGTGTTGGATGTGTTGATGAGATGGTGGTGTTGTCTTACGGCCGAGAGTTGGTTGTCGTGATCGTTGATTGGGGCGACTCTTGGGAAGAAGTCGTCGACCATATAGATGTCAAACGGGGGCCGAGGGGTCGAGTAGTGGGTGTTTGGCGGCCGATATGTGTTCGGCCATCGCCTCACGCGTGGCATTCTGTCGCTGGATCTGTTGGATCAGCTAAAAAGACAACTCAATTAAAGCCGCGGTTTTATCAACAATTCAACGCTTTTTTTGTCCCAAAATGTGTTTTATTTGTCAAATGTTTTAATGTTTTGGTTTTGTATATAAATTACGTTTACATTTGTTTTTCATTGCTTTTTGTGCACAACTTTTTTGTGGATTTAATTTTGAGTATTAATTGTAGTTTTAATTTAATTTTAATTTTAGATTATGTTTGATATGATATATATTTAACGTTTTTCTCGTAAATATTTTAATGAATTTTTTGTTTGCCTTTTATCTCAATTAAAAAGTATGTGTTTTATATAACAATCTGTGTTTCAGATGACCTGTCATTTGGTGTTTAATTTAAGGCCAATTAAGGCTTGAAATTAAAGGAAATTTAGTCACTATTTGGCCAAAAATATTGTATAATTTAATTGACTTTAACTCATAAAACGTGTTTTGCATGAAAGCAGACAAAACTTTTTTTTACAAAGAAATGAATAGTTTTTGTCCACAATTTTCCCAACTTTTTCGTTAGCAATCATAAAATTATATTTCATAACATTATTACAAACTTTTATTCAAATATAAGTTGGATATTATTTTTTGTTAATACAAATGTAAGGAAAAATACAATTTGAATGACTTATTCATTGAATTTTCATATGAATTTACGATTGCAATTGAATTATAGTTTAGTGAATAGGTTTCCACATGAAAGGGTCAGTTGTCTCTTATCAGTGTAACTAATCTACCAATACATAGATTAGTAGACATTAACAACTAGTTAAATATTTATATTAATATTGATTTTATAAACAAAATATAGTGATTTTTATTTAAATATATTGCGGCCAAAACTCCATTAAAACTTCAAAGTAAGTTCAATATTGAATTGTAATTATGATATAAATGTATTAATAAATGAATTAACAAAATGTTGATTTTTATAATGAGTTGAATAAATGTGTACACAATTGAAAATCATAAATATCCCATAAATAGATATTATCGGTTGTAATGACACAACTAATCATGAAATCTATATAAATATCATTATTTGACTTTTCATTATTTGAGTTATAAAAACACAAACAAATAACTCATGGATTTGTAGAGACAATACGAAAAGACAATTGAATTTATAAATAACTGACTCTAATCTGATTCCCTAAACGAAAACCATTGCTAATAATAGTGTTAATTGGGATTTCTTAAGCCATCAGTTCATTGAGAAATAAATAAAAGTAAAATACAAATACAAATAAAAAGTTTTTGGTTAAAAAAAAGTTACGCTCAAAGAGTTGCGTCAAATGAAACTTTAAATTTAGACAAAAATTGTTGATTTTGTTTGAATTTCTAATCGGGAAAACATACTGTTTTTTGTCGAAATAATGCAAAGTTTTTGAATACAATACTTTACAATACTTTGAATGTTTCTCTTTGAAGTCAATTCAATAGTTAGTTGTATTGATTGAATGCTATTGAATAATATGATAGACTAGTAATTGGAGACTCAAACCAGTTTGAAGAGAGACTCTCTGACTCTCTGGTGTTTTGGTTGCAACGGATGGCAAATGTTTGCAAAACTTGGGACACATTCACCAGAGTTTGTGTCTATTTATAAAAATACTGTGTTTTGAGTCCAAACCAGTGGTTAATAACAGGAATTTAGGACACGTTTAGGCGTTGATATTGACTGTGAACTTGTCTTACGGCCAACTCTATGGTTGTCTCTTCAAAGACCTATTTTATGTTTGCTTTGTATTTTCAATCGACTATTTAATAGAGATGTCCATCGAATCAGTCGCTGAAGTACTGTATAAGAAGAAGCAAAGAGGAAGACTATACCGGTATTGGTCGACAATGGGCTTCATATTTCAGATCGTCCGCGATATTGACCCCAAACTACGTGTAGTGATCGATACGTTCACACTATTGGGTCTCTTATACTCAACAAAACTGGTTTTCGGACTATTTCTCACAGCATTTAACGGATTCCGAGTCCATCTCTGGTCGCGGGTCTGGAAGATTGATTTGAGGACACGCTATGGCGAGTGGGCTGTCATAACGGGCGCCACGGATGGCATCGGTCTGGAGTACGCCCGAGCGCTGGCCAAACGCGGTCTGTCTCTCATACTCGTCGGTCGTAACGAAGTTAAGTTGGCTCGAGTGAAGACAGAGTTGTCGGGAATCACTTCCGTTGTGACGATTGTGGCCGACCTTAATAGCGACGACCCGTCTCTTTACGAACGCATCTCCACAGACATCGACGGCACGAATCGAGACATCGGTCTATTGTTTAACAACGCGGGCGTTATGTATGACTCGCCCAACCGTTTCATGGATCAGCCCGAAGACAAGGTGTGGCAACACGTGAGGGTCAATATAGCGGCCGTACTGATGATGACCAGAGCTGTGTTGCCCGGAATGATCAAACGTCGTCGAGGGCTCATCATTAACATGAGCTCAATCGCCGCTTACAAACCATTACCACTGATGGGTGTTTATAGCGCTTCCAAAGTATGTCTGCAAATGTTGTTTGCATTTGAAATGATTGACTGATTTATAATTGTATTGTTCGCAGGTATTTGTCGAGTGGTTCTCCAAGACATTGGAAATCGAGTACAAGTCGTATAACATCGAAGTGCAGACTTTGATGCCGTCGTATATCTCGACAAAATTGACGTCTTTCTCGGATCTGCTGCAGAAGCCGTCGATCGCGTTCCCGAGCGCCGAGACATTCACCGGCAATGCCATCGCAACCATCGGTCGATCCAACAATACTACCGGCTATTGGAGTCACGGTTTGCAGCACTTCCTCACCGATTGGTTTGTTCCCGATTGGGTCTACACTCTCTCGAGTTGGCATTTCCTTAGAAATATCGATAACTCGAAGACTAAATAGTTATCTGTTTTTTAATATACACTATAAAGAGATCTATCATTTGTTAAACACAATTAAAGCGATAATTTTTATACATTTATTATAAAATTGACATTTATTTTCTACTATTAAATCCAATAAATGCATCCAATTTTTATGACAATTTTTACCATGATTTTAATTTGTGGCAAATGTTCCCTAACACTGATTACAACCACTACTTGGTATCAAATTTTATGTATGAATTGCGTTAATATTAATGTCTTCGTAGTAATACTCGAAGAAGTGTCCATTCAATTGATATCAAAAACTTTTAAAGTTAGTATTTTGTAGACTAAACACAACTGAAGTGTAAATGTTTTATAATTGTCTTATTGTTATTGTCTTAATGTCCGCAAAAGTGTTTTCCATTCAATACAGACAATAGTATTGTCTCATAACTACCACAAGAATATTCATCGCATTCCTCCTCACCATTTAGTGTACGTTATATACGATAATGACATCCAGTTTTATTAGGGCACGATATTTATGGGCATTCATTACTCAATCATAAAATGTGTTACAAAACACATGTTTTGCTCCCCTTTTGTGTTGAACGCAAACATTCCGTATTATAAATGCATTAATACTCACTCATAAACCTCAGCCCCTGTCGTGCGTAACGTTGTTTGCGAACAGAAAACTCCCCTTAAATTGAAAACATAACAACAAATGCAAGAATTGTTTGATTGAATGATCACTTGATTTGATCCAAAGAGCGAACCGAAAGCCACGGATGCGATGGATCTGCGAAAGATGCCACCCGAGGATCAGCTGAATCTGTGCCGCAAATACTTCTACAGTAAGTGATAACCACATAAATGGTATAATCAATGGATGAGATAATGTGCTAATGTCTTGTGATGTCGTCCTCCGCAGTCGGTTTCGCATGTCTACCATTCCTATGGCTTGTGAACAGTGTCTGGTTCTTCAGGAGCGCGTTCCTCTCAGCGGCGGATCAGCCAAACCGTAAACCCATTCAACAATATGTCATCTTCTCGATGATCGGCACCACTGTATGGACGGTAGCGCTCATCGCATGGATCACCACATTTCAGCTGAAGAGAGCCGAATGGGAGGCCACCGGCGATCACCTCTCCTTTAATATTCCTCGAGGCATACCATAAGACCTATTCATTGATATGTTTTTACTAAACGATTTGTATTTACCTCTCTTTCACTGTTTTTTCTTTTTGTTTTTAATAATTTATTTTTTGTATTTAATATTTGAATTAAAACCAAAAGTATTGACACATTATTGAAGTGTTTCACTATTGATATGATCGACAAATTGGCCAATAATTGACTCAATAATTCTGTTATTTATAATTGGTTTTAAGCTTTTATTTTGTTATTATTTGTAATGTATTTTAGACATCGCTTTTGACCAAAATTGTGTCCATTATATGAGGTTTGGATTGAGATTGTCTTCGGTGTGAAGAATGAAAACTTGATCTCATATTAGATGCAAAGTGTTTGTGAAAACAAACTAAAAATATAAGATTTCATTAGTGGCTAACGTTTTGTGAATACAAAACGAGTGAAACTTTAATCTTTTTATTGACAATTTGTTTTTTAGAATCAACATGTTATTTCACTAAATTTTCCATTCAAATGTCTCATTACAAACATATTAATTAATTTTTTTGCTCCATATTTACTACAAAATAGCATTTTTGCTACTTTTAAAGATCAAGTTCAAGGACTATAATACTATACAAAACGACAAATAAACGGCTTAATCGTTAATAACTCTTATCGTATCAAAAACATTATTTAATCTTTAATTTCCTTTTTTAAAATTAAGTTTTAAAATGTGTATAAATAGAGAAAAGGTTTCCATAAAAAAATATTTATTTGAAATTTCGTTTTTTCATGATTTTATTCAATTCGTTAATTTCACACTTTGATCACGTGTTCATATGATTGAAAGAAATTGAAGTTTTTTACTTAAATTATAAAGAAATGAATGAAAATTACGGAGAATTTATAGGCCGTAACGACAATACAAACGATTTTATGAATTATTCTGTATTTCATTGCAATAAATTATAGATTTACATAACTGATGCATAACTCATCCACTTTTATATAGTACTAGAATTTGATATAAATTCTTGATTATAAGAGGAGATGAATGTTTGGTTATCTAAAAAATTTGCGAAAGTTAATAATAATTAGTGTATTTATTTGAGAATACAATTAACATTACTCTATCTCTTATTTGTCTTCAGACTAATTGATTTGTTTTAATTAATAAACTTTTTGTTTTACTTTTTTTTTGTTAACATTAATAATAAATATAAAAAGTAAAAGAATAATATGTTTTTCAAGACTGAAAAAACATTAAATCAAAACATTTATAAAGAAATATTTGTAAAGAAGCAAATCCTTAAAAATATATATTTTTTAGTATGGATTTAAAAGAAGTAAAAAACATTTAGAGATAACCAAAAAAGCTTTTAAAAGTTTGTTCAATATATTTAAAAAATTAATGTTTAAATTCCCGAAAACATTATGTAAAAGAAAATAAGAAGAAGAAAACAAAAATGTATGGAAAATAGCTTTTAGTCCGAAAAATGCAAATCAAAAAACAAACAAAAAGAAGAGTTTAAATTACATTTTGCACATGTAATAGAGGTTTAGTGTAAAAGTGTATAATTAACTAAAATGAGAGATGCACTGAAAAAAGTGCATAATTTTGGTCGACAAACAACATAATAATTTCGTCGACACCCTTTGACACCTCAATCATTTGCTACACCTCTCCTCACAGGTACGGGCGAACTATTGCACACCTGTGCCAACCATTCCCAATGTCATACCAGACGTTATGCAATATTAGGCAACAAATAGCGGGCACTGGAGTCACAGCCAGAGCCAGAGCCAGTTCCGCATCACCTTTACATACCCTTCACATACCCTTAACGCCTACCGATCCCAACAGTCGTACACTTTTTAAGGGTTCAGTACATAAAAAGTGGGAAAAAGTGATTTTCTACACATGTATGCAATGGTTGAACAGAATTATAATTATATCTATACTTATCTCTGAACTATAAACTTATCATTAAATTGTCTCCCAATCGTTATCATGTGATTGTATACACGCTATGAGTAAACCGATTGGTATTTCTGTGGCTTTGAATTTTAGTTGTATAGCTTTTCATCTGATAACACATTTGAAAGTAATTATCTTTTCTCTCTCTCTCTCTCTCTCTCTCTCTCTC